TATTTCGACTTAGCCGCCGTAGGTTACACGAGAATTTGGATTGTGGAGCGACTGACTCGCCGTTTCGCCCGACAACAGTATACAATTTAAAGCTTGACAGGCGTAGCCTGCGAGATAAACTAGCTCTTGATTATTATCACTTTTTAGTTTTTTAAAAGTGTCGTATAATGGTTTACACAATTCTTCATATTTAAGATCCCGTACTTTACAATCAGCCATTACATCAAATAGCCATCCCAACGTTCGCGTAATTTCAATCAGTTGATCCTTGTCTTGAGGATGAAGATTTTTAAATTTTACATTTAATATGTTTAAAATGCAAACCAAATCATTAGGCTTTAGGTGTTTGGGATTTGCCTGACGGATAATATGAGATAAACCTTCCAATAATGACGGATATAGAAAATTTGATTTTTTAATTTTAGTAATGAAGATATCTACCAAATGCCTATAAAGCTCTTCCTCTGAATCTGGTAAATTTGATAACACCATTACTTCTTATACTAATGCTAAATCTGTAGTATCCATTTTAGCAAAACTCTCGATAATTTTTCGCACCAATATGCATAATTTCATCTTTTGCTCATCTGAAATATCATTTCGGCGTAGCTTACGAGCCAACTGTTGAGTATTGCTAGGTTCATCATCCTCATTCAGAGGTAGGTTTTTCTCTGGAATATAATTTTTCGAAAAAAATTTATTTTCAATAAAACGCTGGAGGTCGTCAGACGGTTCATTTTTCGAATAATCATTTTCGGATAAAGATAATTCTTTTAAAATCTCTTCATATTCTTCACGTGCCCGGATTAAGATTTCTTTGATCTCATCAGAATTTGGACGATTATTATGAGCTATTTCGAGGTTATTAAGAGCATATTTGTACAATAAAGCGGAGGATTCGGGGTTTTGGCTTTTTTGGTCACGCGCTTCATTTAAATATTTTTGACCTCTTCCAAAGTGGGTTAGTTTGCAAGTAATTTGATTTTTTGAAAATGTTTTATACGCCTTATTTATTATACCATTCATTTCTCAAACCCATAAAGAATTTTAATTAATTTTTCTAGACAAGTTGCAACTACGAATTCAAGGACAATAAACTTAATATTTAAGGACAATCAAAAATTTATAGGAAAATTATTATCTGCAGTCAAACCTTGAATGCCTAGGATTGGAGACTATTTACAAATTTGGTTTTTGTCTTCCTACAGTGTGCGACACTTCAGAACTACAAAATGCTTGTTATCTAAAAATAGAATCTTGTCATTTGTCTTATTCGAATCGCCGACAAAATTTCACGTTGTGACACAAAATTTCTAAATACCCAGGATTAGATATCTGGCACACAAAAAATTTGTGATGTGAGTATGTCCTTTAAAAACTGTGCACTACAAGCTGCTGGAATTTCATGATGGCATGTCTCTAGGCATGTCGTAGACTAATATGGCATGGCACTTGTATAGTATAAAAAAGTTATATATAAGTTGAAGGAGGATATTGCGGCGGGAGTAGGTAAAGTAGCGAATCAAATCATACTAAAATTAACATATGGTTTGTAAATTTTAACTATAATGGTTTTTATACCATTCACGTTCAATTCGTTTAACTAATACAATTGAATGATTCAATTCTGATTACTGAATTACAAGGCAATATTATAAGAGAGTAGAATCTGTGTTAACTATTATTCCTTACGCTGTCTCTAGTAAATTTGTCTGCACGAAAGTCCTCATCTTTGTCAAATATTACATTTCAACCCAATATGTCTTATATCTTGCTTAGCGAAGTTGAGTTGATAATACTGAAAGGGCTCCAGAAAGTAAATGAAGAATTCAAAGGACATGAGGTCTATGCGCTGCTAAATATGATATTAGCAGAAATCTTCAGTTGGTGGTTTTGTCTGCTTATGTATATGATTTGTTTAAAAAAGTGCGTTCATCAAAAATTTGCAAGCAAATTTGTCGGTAAGATGATGTAGGAGATAATACAATATCGATATACATAATTATTCTCGCTTGGATGTCTAGTTACAATGTTTACGAAGAAACCCTATGGGAATAGTGCGTGCTGTTTGTACCCAAGACTAACATCTCAACGCTCAGATGATCTTTTAGTTCCTTTACTCATTTGTTGCCCTTAGACAAATTTCTTCAGGTGTTTAGATAGCATTTGTGCATAAACGGATTCGTTGTGCGATAGACAGCTTGAAAAGAATCGAAAGAAGAAAAGAGAAGAAAAAGAAGAAAAAGAAGAAAAAAAAACCCCCCAAAAGGCTTCGGAGGATTTCCTGGTATATTTTTAGGTTTCCTCATCTTCCCTCTCTTTTTTTTTTTTTTTCCATCTACTACGTTGTTGGGTGTACACAGCTGTAGGCTTATAATTTTCCTCCCACGTTGTGGGGTGTTCACAGTCGTGGGTTTCTCATTTGTCTTATTTCGTCTTTGTCATCATTTGATTATATATATATATATTATTATTATTATTATTATTATTTTGGGTACTGGGTGGGCGGGAGTACTTCAATCCGGAAACTAAATGTTTCGGGCACACAACAAACAGCGAAAGAAAAGCACAACTTCCTTCTTATTTACGCCAAGCTTTATTACTAATACTGCTGAACCTCGCGATAATAGCCCTCCCGTGACTTTGTCTCGGTCGGGCACATTATAGTGGGAATAGGTTTTTCCGTAAGTGAATAGTTTACAAAAATGTTCAATGACTGTTGTCTACAATTTGGTTGGATGCTACAGTTGGTTATATGCTTTCTAAAATATGCAAACACAAATAATTTCGGGTTTGTATCAAGAAAACCATTTAAAGCGTTACTATGTTGATAATAGAGATGGGTTTCATGCGTGCGCATGATTCCGTTTCATGCGCATTTTATCCCATCAAGATTTCTCTTCTCTCGATCGTTTTTTCTTTTTTTTGCCTTTTTTTTATCATGCGATATCATGCGCATGAAACATTTCGTGTGCATTAATGCGCATTCATGCGCATGTTATTATAAAATGCGCATTTTTCCCATCACTAGTTGATAAAAAGGTGAAAAAACTTAATAGCTTAGTGAGTTTGACCTGTTTATATTGCAACGGCACATACATTTACTAAACGCTCTGTTCCTCTAATTTGAAAATAAATGTATAAATGTATTTTTTTATCCGAAATTATGAAATTTTATTACATATATACCACACTCATCTCTAGCTCACTTTATGAACTCAAGCGCCTAGTTCCGTAGTTAATTATCAACAAATTTTCACTGTCAATAAACCATTTTTCACCAATCTAAAACGGGTGATTAAAAATATATCACTTCTAATCATCACCTATAACAGGAACAGAGTGAAACGAAGCGTATGACATAGTCAAGAAAGAAATTATATGTGTAATTTCCGATTTGTCATCGTACATAATGCATATTCTTCACCCACTATTAAAATCATTAATCTAAAACGAACACCCAACTTGATCTATGATCGTCTAACGCTAATGTTTGACTAATCAAATATTTGATAATCAGGTTTTTGTATTGTTCCACCTTGTAAATTTGACCAATCGAATTTCAAAGCTATCTTTTTACAAAAAAAAATACAATAGTTCTAAATGTTATTAGGAAGTCACCTTTTGCGGCCTAATTAAAAGTGTTTCTTGTGAAATTTTACTAATAGAGCTGTATTTATCTAACTTTAGCATGATGCAGATTTTCTGGCTTAATTTTACACGCTGATCTTAAATCTTGATTAGTCAAAAATTACAAGAACGAACATTTTCTGTGAGATCGCTATTTAAAATCCTTCAGATGTCCTTTATAGGTTATCATAGACCATATAAATGTCCGGAGCTTCAATCTCTACATAAGGTGATACAAAAGCTACGTTTTTGATGCAATTCTTTCATAGAAATGTAATTTTTTTGATATGATTGCATATAAATCTTATAAACATTGTATCAAAACAGCAATTTAGAAAATTTTTGTCTATCCACACGCTGCACGCATGTATAACAATGAATTCAGGAAATATTTTCGGCATTAGAAAATATTTTCAGCTACTGTAATTATTTTAGTCAGCCGAAATTATTTACGGTTTAGGCTGCCTAAGATATTTTCAGCAATTTTTATTTATGGCAAGCCAAAAATAATTTAGGCACACATCTATACCTGAACCAACAATTTATGTCTCACAACTCTCAAATAGGTAACGCAGGTGTATATCTCATTGAATCATTTTACGTAAAAAGATGTTTTCAACAATCAAAAACTGCAATCTATTTGTTGCATTATTCCATCTTAAATTACATTGATCAGCAGATTTTATGCATCACACCGGAAGTCAGAAATCTAAAAAAAAATTACCAATATATGATTGGTTAAAAAATTGATCAAATAATTATTAGCCAACCATAAATTGATATTTTTCTGGATTTTTAATTCCCTGTGTGATACATGAAATCTGCTGATCAGAAAAGTATTGTAAACAAAAATAAATAATCCGTTCATTATATATTTATAAAAGAATTAAACTAACTATTGTAGCTTTTCTCAATAATCATCATAAGAAATGCGTAGTAATTAATCCTTTCAAGACTTCGCAGTATATATTATCGGTATAGATTTGACTACTATTACTTGAGAATAATTGGAAAATGATTATGAGTATGGTTATTAATAGTTTATTAGAGGAGGATCAACATTTATTAGAGAGGTATTAATACTTTATCTGTAAATCAGATTTAAAATGAGCAAAAAATAACGATAATAATTTTATTTTCAAATAATAGAAAAAGTAATCAACAATTGGAATCAGAAGAATTCAGACAAGATGTCCAAGATGAATTCGAATTCATTCACACTGAAGTGAAGAGATATTATCCAGATGCACTCAAAGTTGGAAAGTTATATAAAAAATCACGATTTCTCAAACGTTACAATGAACGATACTTTGTATTTTATAATGGAATATTAATTTACTATAAAGATAGATATAGTTTTAAAAGAATTGAAATAGAAAGTACATCTGAAGTTATAAGGGTTGATAAATACAGATTTGAAATTCAAATTCCATTCAAAACTTACAAATTACAAGCTTCATCTGAAAATGATCAAGCTGAATGGATCACAGTAATTCAAGATTACATCAATAATGAGCAAATTAAAGAAAGGAATTCATATGTTGAATAAGGACGTTATCAAGCGCCTTAATGAGTCAAAAAGTGTCGGTGAATAAATTTTACTTGGTAGAAAATATTTTAGGCAGTCAAGTTTGTTTATAATTTTAATGAATATTTAAATAATGTTTATGATGTAAATAATATATTTTTATTAGCAAATAATTTTAATGGGTTGTCATTTCAATTTATAGAACTTTTTACATTAGTTGAGTATTTGAAGGGACCATTCATGTAACTTTGTCATGTATCTAAACTATCAATATCAATAAATTATTAGTAAAAGTTTTTATAAAAAATAAGAAATACTGTATATATCAAAAGGGTCAAAAAATAATTACAGGTCATCTTTTAGCCTTAACTCATGTGGCAACAAATTCAACCATTTCACCAATAATTTCTTCATTTTGTACAAAACCTAAGCCCGATGTCGACATCTGATGAATAGAAAATTATAATTTATTGAACCGGTCAAAGTACTATATCAATTTCAATTTTTATTTTGATTGGATATAATAAATGAGTCAGTGTTGTCACGATAACTAGTAATTGCATCGAGAATGACGCTTGAGGAAACTTTGACTACACCATAATTTGCATATCGAATAGTAGAAAGAAAAAAAATAATAAACAAAAATTATATAAATGTAATCGAATGGGAGAGCTTCCGACAATCATGCCGAGTTTAACCCTGATGATTGACATAAGAGAAATATGAGAATCTGATGATAAATTAGGGGAATCGGATTTTATAGGATTAGTAGACATTTATTATATAAAAGAATGTAGGCTTGTGCATTCTTATTTAGGGACAGTTTCAGAGAGCATCATTCCTTTCTGAACTAAGGCAAGAGCAACCCTTTAAATATATTCGCTTTCTTATGAGGTTTACGCTAATATTATAACATCTATGAATCACACATGCTTCCTCACAGGCAACTCATGCTATCAAGTTTATGCGAGAGCGTATATGCGACCATTAGGAAGTTTACGCTCCCGGGGGATTCACATGGATTAAGCCAATATGAATATGTAAGAATGCCTAACACTAGAAAGGTACGATTGCCATTACTATGGTGTTATATTTATGACAATTTAACAGTTAATGAATTAGACAAATACCAAAGTAAGAAAAAATTATTCGTTACAGTACGTACTATTACAATCACTAGCTAATCGCACCGGATTTAGGTTTGAGAATGCCCACAAGGAAGGGTTCTAATATATATATAGGAAGCAGCTGCAGCAAGTTAACACGCATTAACATTCCTTAAGATTACAAATTGATATCATAATTTAATTTGTTTTATTTATATACTAGATACCATTATTTAAATTCCACAAGTTTGGATCAAAATATTCTTTGTGTATTTTATATGAATTATTAAAGGCTTCAATCCGGATGTACAATACCTTTAAAGCTTATATTTAAATGCATTTATATATTAAATTTAATATCAACTAAACTCAATACATGCAGAGCTTCGCATTTGCTAACAAAGCAATCTCCAATGAAACCTTTATCAGTGAGTTTTTCTCCAAATATGATCGAAAGTTGGAGTCACTCAGTTCTAATAGGAAATATTAATAAACCAGTTGAGTTACTTGTGCTTCATCTGGGAAATGTCACTGATAAACTTGTTCTTACAGAATTGCTTGATTATAAAACTGTAATTTCAGTTATATACGAAAGATGACCAAGTTTGCTTAAAGAAACCTTGGAAAATCGTTGTAAATGGACAAAATTTGCAGTCAAGTTTACCTCGTTTTTACGGTGCACAATGTCATTTTGAACTCTTTTAAATTCAATTTATTTATATATATTAGATTCCTCCTAACTTGGATTGACAAGTTACTGAATTAAAAATAGTAATTTCAAGACTAGTATGATTAATCATAAAGCTAATCCTAATTTGTTCATGTTTCTGAATGTATGAATTTATCTTTTTTTTTAATTGTCCGAAGACAGCCATTTCATCTGGAGTAGCAATTTCAGATATCTTAATTAGTACCTGACTAAAATTAAGTCTTTCGAGCCTTTTAATAAGGTTTATTTTCCTTGGACTTAGCATTAGTATTATATTTCGCGTATTGCCAGCTAAAGCGACAGCGATATAATGCATAAAGGCAATATCTCGAACTTGAAGGAGAAATTTCAACTCTTAGAGCCTAATAATTTAAATTAATGAAACCAATTACCTAAAATAGATTCGGAGGGTTTTAGCTAATAACAGATTAAGTAAGATAATCGATCATCATGATGGTTTTGTTGGGTAGCAGTTATGTGAATTGAAAACGTCACAAATTTCTAAATAGAAAAGTTGGAAATTGGACATTCAGCAATTGATCAAGTTGGTCAAAATTATTACAATTTATTGAAGAATTCAAACAGAAAAATAAAAACTCTGTTCGCTGGCGAACTTTATATAATTTTAGTCCAATTGAATTTAATTTTACAAATATACTAAGTACTTATATCAACCTTAATTTATCAAGCACTTACTGTATTCCATTAATATCGTTAATACAAGTAATATTGTCCATTTTTGAAGCACTATGTCTCGGGACAAAATTTAAAGAAATGGTGGATGCAGAATAGATTGTGCAAATTGAATTTGATATTTATAAACTAATTCAGTTGATTCATAATGAACTAAATTGTAGTTAGTGTTTGGACCCATTACCAGTGGATTTACTCCAATCGCTGATGTTTGTTTACATTGGGTAAAATACGATTGTTAAAGTTTAACACGTCCTATTTTACCCGAACATAAACGATTGCTTAAATTCACTGGGAATACCCGTAAGTTTATCTGGATCAGCCAGTTATAATTTTCATATTTCTTTCCAACATATGGGCGGATTTTGATATTTTCGAATAAGCCTTCAAAATTATACCCCAATCATATTAGTAAAATTCGAATTTATCTTATGTTGATTGGTTGATTTATTTAGTAATGCTAGTCACAATACTGTATTACAGCATTTACTTTTACGAAGCTCTCTCCTTTTTTCTTTATTGTGACAATTTGGAAATTTGTATTTACGCTCAGCAAGACCTTAGAATCGAAGATCCTAAAATGGTTTAAGATCTCAAAATGGACAAACCTTTTACTAGTAACGATGTCAAAAGTTTGTTTATTAATATAATAGTTAAGGTGCTGTTTATTTTTACGAATTCTTTACTTTTTTTTCTTTTATTAATATTGGTTTGAAAATTCGTATTTGTGCTCAACAAGACCTTAGATTCAAAGTTCTTGAAATAATTTTTAAGATCCTGAAATAGACAAAACCTTTAATAATAATAGCATCGAAGGTTTGACTATTAGAATAATATATAGTTAAAGTTCTATTTACTTTTTATGAAGCTTCTGCTTTTTTTTTATGATAATGGTTTGAAATTTTATATTTATGTTTAGTAAGACCTTAGTTTCAAAACTTTGTTTTTAAAATTCTAGAACAAGCAAGCTTTTACTAATGGTTATATTGAAGGCTTACAATGTAAAATTGCAAAAATAATTTATTTTTAAAAAAATCTAGATACATTTGCGCAATGATTTCAATATCTTGTATTTTAGAATCCATTAGATAGATATAATATGGTTTATGCGATAAATAAATATAAGCGATGAGCGATATTGTTTAATTAATATGTATAAATCAAAGTATGTAATAGTAATGTGTCGCCTTGAATTGAATTTTTCAATTGATCTCTTGGTCATGTAGATCCTCGTGACTTTGTTTATATAATTTTATTGGTCTATTTTTATGTATCACACATATCACGTTCAAATTCAGGCGACATAGTACGTATTAAGGTGCAGTAGAGTATGGACTTCAATAAAAATACTAACTATTGTCACGCATACAAAAATACGGATCGCATTTCCTTTTTCTTTTATACTTGTTATTATTTTGGTTTCTTAGTAACCATCATATAACCCGTACCTCTGAAATTGGAAGAAAAATTTGAGATGAATAGTATCTTAATTCAAAATTTTATAGTTCATAAATCTTTTCTATGTATATGTCGTACCTCAGACTAGAATAGGTGTAGGTTTAAAATTGAGTTGCATAAAATTAAATTTTCGATTTTGAGGTGCGTTAGACTAATTTTATCATTTATGTGTCATACTAAAATACACATAACAAATGTCTGATAATATTAATAAAGTAATAAATTAATAAAAATTGGCTCGCTTAAAATTTGTTGACTTTACATATCACTCATGTATTCTAAATACTATGGAGTATTCATTTATATCACGCAAAACTTTAGTAGTTTATCTTATATAAATGTATTTAATTCTTCACATTTATTAGGATGATTCTTCTTACAACATTTCACAACGATTGCAAGATTAACGATCAAAAAATAATAGAACACCAAGTATTACGAAGAATTGTAGAGGTCTATATGGCTAGTACAAATTAGAATACGAAATCAGATAGTAAGGTACGTATTGATCGATTTGGTATAAATTGATATGCCTATGCAAGATTTTGAATAAATTGAACTATAATCAAACACTTAAATATTGTGCAGGTGAATGAAGCCATTAAATACATAGAATGTTCAGAAATAGAACATATTTCAATAGATTATGTAATACCGGTGGTATTCTTACGAAAAGTATGTGCAAATGTAAAAGTATTTATGATTCTAATAAATGTTATTGCAAAAAAAAAGGATTTGGATGTGGAAGTAAACGTCATAATGGAAAAGTGTACAATAATACAGTACAGAATTATAGGTTATTGAACTTATTTTTCATCGTATTATAAAATTTAAATTATCGATTTTAATTTGATGCATAAGATAATTTGATCTGATGCATCTCGAAATCAAATTTCGGTTTAACGCAACTCAATTTCAAATTCACGCCAATTCGAATTTCACGTACAACATATACATTCATTTATTAAATAAACAAGCAGTATTAAATACTGTAAAACTGCAAAACCGTACACCTGCGCATTATTTCGAGTATGCCATGTGCTTTATTTGGAAATAAAGGGTTAATTTTGAATTATATACTAATGCATCATTATATACTCTAATATATTACATGAGTAACGCTGTGAAAAAAATGAGATCGAGATCCAGGAATTTATAATTCATCACAATAAATCTGATCAGTATATATATTTTGCATCGATCACAAAATTTATCAATTCTCAATCGCCATGTTATTTTCAATCTCCACCAATTTTAATGTACTATAATGATTCAGTAATTAATAAATTCAATAACGATAATGTGATTTTATATTGATATAAATGAGAAAAATCATTATTGAGACATAAAGATATAATTTTTTAAATCACGATCTTTCAATCTAATATTAGAAACTTAGGTTATAATGAATGTTTGAACGTACTGAAACATTTAAACCTCTCAAGTAACTCAGAATGGGTTACTTATTCTTTCAAAGTTCTTTATATTGGTAAGGTTAAAGTGCTTCACTTAATAATGCAAAATGAAAATAATTTAAGAATGTAATTGTTTAGTCGAAAGTTTTATGAATTAATTTGCGAATTTGTTGTCAAAATAAATTTAGAAAAGTTTGTGTACAATAATATTATTCCCTTAGCATGCAGTCGAAACAAAGACGCAATACAGGATATAAAGTTTGTATTACCCGACTGGCTTTAGAAAGTTCGATGCGTCCTATTTCTTTCTAAACAAATTATTATAAGGTTATTCGATTTTCAAGACTAAAAATGAATTTCTTGAAGGTTATGAAAAAAATAAATCTGTTTACTGAAAAGTAATATTGATACAACGGTCAATAATTAATCTTTATTATATCTGATAACTGGCTCAAGTTTTAAGCTAATCGATCTTTTTTTTTACTCGAAAAATTTATTGATTTGGATGTATAATGGTTTTTTTCCTTTTTTTTCGCGATCAAAGAAACGATTACTATACTTTTTAATAAATTTTCACTGATTGTAAAATAACTTACATTACTCTTAAACTTATGAATAACGTAAGCAACATAAATTTAAAATTAATGCAGAATTTCTTTACTGAAAAAGACAAGCTTAGTTTTTGCCTTTCATTAAAAAAGATTTTTTTTTGAAAAAAAGAAAATAGTGAAATTGGTAGAATCTAAATAGCAAAATAATTAAATTAATAAAAGATAAATTATAAACTATAATGCAAAAAATTGTCTTTATTAGCAAATTTATTAAATCGGACTACTGTAAGTAAATAATTTCGTAAAGATACTTACATCATAATAATTTGATATATCACTTGATATACCTGCTTAAAAAAAACGAATAAATATCTTGGATGATTTGGTGAATAATCGGGAATCAGAGGCTGCTTGACAGTGGATAATTACTTGTTAGTAGTAATAATCAAGTAGTGGTGACTGCTTGATCTCTGGTATGCCTATTTCTCTATGATCGCAATATTGATTTTTCGACACGGAAATCAGAAGTTATAAACATGAATATATTGAAAATAGGTTAAATTTTGTTTATTTATATTGTTAACATTTTATGCTACAAGATCTATGACTATAATTCAATAAATTTTCTTTAATTTGTGTTGCTTAAATTTGTAGTATAAATTTTTTTTTTTGTTATATTATTGGGTTGTAACGATTTCAATTCCATTAGCCTCATCCTTACTAATTAAACCTTTAGATTCCTCTATCTCTATTTCACTTTTTTGTTTCATCCCTTTGTGATTTTTTAAGTACAATCCTTTTATATATTGATACTGATACGAAACCCATAACTTTAAAATCCTATAAGCTTGTTCACATAAAATTACTAATATAAGGAATAAATAAATCACATATACCATGAACCAAATAAATATAGATAACCATGCTAATATAACAAGCTTTGTACGGAGAGTACACCATTGATACTCCGACGAGTTTAAAGATTCAATATCACATGAGGTTATTTGTTCTTTTAAATACGGATAAGAAAGTGGAATATTCAGGCAAGATAATATTCTACATGAAATTAAGAGCACTGTTATTTATCACTCAATATAATTATTATAAAAAAAAAACAAATAGTCAGATATATTGATTATAATTACATGTCAATTATAAGAAATTTCAATAAAGTTCGCCATTTTCCAAGTTTAATATAATAAAAATTTTCTGTATTTTTCCAAGGTGGGCTCATAACAAAACGTATAATATAAAAGCATAAAACATGTAAATATATACTCCAACAGCACCACCCAAGTATTTCTAATCCACTGCACAAAGTAATCATATATATTTATTAGCACTTAACATTATTTTTATCTAAAATTTCCAACAAAAAAACAAAGAAATTAAACTGACTGATTATTATTGTATCTTAGACGTTGATTTGTGCCAATTGCATTGTCATCTTGCTCATTTAATACTCCAATCGCTTCAAAATCTGTATATATTCAATTGTTAAACATGTAATTAATTAAATATGATTGAAAATCTTTGAAAATCTTCGATTGAAAATGTAATAAATAATGCACCATAGGCGGTAAAAAGTATAAAAATTATGATCGCAAATATAACGTTAATAAATTTTATCCATGGATTTTGTTTTATTATTGCTTTTTGAGCATTTTCGTAAAATGATAATCGTTTTTTTTGACATGGAATCATCTTTTAAACCAAAAAAAGATCAAGTTCGAATTATTTTTAAATAAAAAAAAAAATAAAAATTTAAATTGGAAACTTGTGTTACTTCTGATAAGTCATATGCCTCTCATTTGTTCGAATTACGACATATAGATGTAATTTGTCACGATTACTGCACCAATAGTATTCAATACACGAATACTGCCAAGAAAAAATGGTGTACCAAGAATTTAAACTCATAACCTATTGAAAATAGCCTCTGAAAAAACAAAAGGCTAATACTGTAATAATGAAAGTAATTATATATAGTCTGATGTTTGGGTAAATTCGACGTTTACACAACGTACTATATAAATCTTTTCTAAATGCATGATCAGTTTTGTTCCAACCTATAAGAGCCTTATGTTTTACACCCTATAATTGTATCTTTTTTTTTTTTTGCTATAGGTTCCAAAGTGATGTGTGCTCGTAAAACTTACAGTATCTCGGTTAGAGCAATTATCACGGAAATTTATTTATATTATAATTTGCATATTATTGTATTATTTGTTATATTTAGCTAAGCGTTGTTGTTGTGACTAAAATTAATACCCAATTGGAGTTGCAACTTCAGTTGACTGAATTTGCACTTGACTGAAATTAGCCCTAAAATTAAATCATCTTGCACGCATTAGCATTTTAGGCAAGTATAACTTCAGTCAACTTAAGTTGCTAACTTCTGTCGAGTGTCAACTTTAGTCACGACACCTACAAGTGGATGGTTAGTTTTAATTTAATTGTAAAGAGTAATGATTTATTTTATGGCTTTAAGGCCGTTCGAAGTTGATTCTTCGGTTAACGTCACCCCCCCACCTCAGCTGAAGGCTCCCCCCGAGAAATGAACAACGAATCAAAACGCTGGATAACTCTCGCCAATCTCTTGATTTACATTGACCAATCAAATTGTCTCATATATGTTCATTCTATATGTTCGTTTAATTTTATCCCTCCCCCCACCCAAGAGTTCTAAAAGTGACGTTAACCGAAAATTCAATTGCAAGCGGCCTAAACACCAACGTTCTAGCCATAAATTACTATATTTATCTATTTAGTCGATTTTTATATTCCCTACTTTGGGTATTTATTACTCATAAATAAGCAGATTCCTCTAATGAATGTAATAAATATAATTTATATTAATTATTCGGCGAACAATTACGACCATGAATTTGGTTTCTTTTGCGTGTTATTATATAATCATAATTAATTCAGTTAACCAATGACTACTTGTGAATCATATTCATAAGTTGCTAATATTATGTAAAGCATTGACAGAGATGAAAATTTCAGAAAAATTTTTGTTTATTACTTGAGAACATAGGTTTAATTTTTTAGGTTCTCAAAATAAAATTTTGATGTTCTTATGAGAAATGAAGCTTTAATGCCCTCCAAAGTTTAATATATAAAAAATTACCAAATTTTTATGTCCTAAATGAAACCAATTTTTAAATATTGTGTTCCAGTGTCTTCAAGAACATTGAGAACACTAGATATTTAACACTGATGCAGTAATTTTGATGCTTACTAATTATTTACTTATTAAGAAAATTTTCTAATAATACACGGGTATAAGAACGTACCAAAAGAATGAAAATTATAAAAACTTTTATGTAATATGTACAAGTTACTTATTGTATACAAGTGAATTTCGATATAAGAAAGGTGATCAGGTCCATTTTAAAATTTTTACAAAACCTTCTTATATCAAAAGCTTATTAATAACTTCTTTATATTGAGTGAATTCATTATAGATTAGTTTTTCTTGGCTTTATTATATTGAGAATTTAATTAGTCTTATATTAAAGTTTTTTTATATCGAGAGTCATTTGTATATTAGACAACCGTGACCTAGTAGAGCTCTAACCCGGTTTATAACCCGGGTAAACGGGTCAAACGGAAATTCATAAAGTTTGTTGAAGTTAATTCTTAAAATTTAAAGTTAATCCTTAAAATTCGATGTGATTACTCTTAATAGAGCTGGGAGTATAAAGAACTGCGTAGCTTTCAATAAAGTACTTTGATTATACTAGTCTTACTTTTCTGTTGGGGTTTCTTAATCTTATTTTAGACCTTATATTGTATTTTAAAAAGCTCTTTCAACAAGACCTCTATATGTCTCATGAGATTGTTTTGCAATTCTAGTTCGTTAGCTGGCAGAAAGTTGGAATTTAAAGTTATAACATTTTCTAAAAGTTTAGTATATCTTTCACATATGAGAAAGAATGGGTTATATTGAATATAGGATGTTTGGTAATTTAGTAAATGAATAATACAGTGCTATATATTAGTTTCAGTCTTTAGAAAATCGTATAATACATTTAGTTAATATATATATAACATTTAATTAAAATTTTCTGTTAACCTGTTGATTTGAAAATAATAGAGTTATTGTTAATTGTTAAATATTATTAAAAAGGTTAAAGATATAGACAACATAGTTCTTAGATGTATTACTAAATTATAGATGTGGAGGTGTGACGACCTAGTGAAGTGGTCAGGTTGTCAACCCCTCAAGTGGTAGGTTGGGTGTTCAAATCCCATTGATGATAAAAATTTGGATAATCACTTATGTAATATTTGTATTATAGCAACTGTTACTAACAATTGGATTAGGATACCTGTAATGGTGGTTACACTAGCATGACTAGCAGGTCATAAGGCATCTATGTAAGTATGGTATCATACAGAGAAATGTAAACCAACAATCAGGTAGTGTAAACATTAGATAAGTTCTTGTAATCATGTAAATCTGTTGAAATTAGTAATAAGAAGTCTATTTGGAAAGACCTGAATAGAGAGATAACAGGATCTTTAATGATATTACTGTAAAGACTAGACCATTAGAAATGGATATCAAGATTATAGTACTTAAACAAGCAAGAACCTTTAAGTTGAAGAAGTCTCAAAAGTATTATCAATCAGGTTACTAAAACAAACCAAAGAAAAAGAATATTAGATTAACCTAATATATTAATAAACTGATTATAGTTTTATATAAGCTATCTGAAAAGAAAATCTGATAAAAAGGCAGAAATATACTAAAATATTAGAAATATGTTGTGAAATAAACACTAGGATCTATAAGAATTCTACAAGACATAACAGTTTAATAGTTAGTCCTGATCACAAGTATTGGTTCTGTCCTAGTAATATTAGGTCAGTTGTAAAAATAGATACAGAAAGCTCTAAAAAGTTTATCTTGAGAATAAAATAGTTCTAAGATTAAAATGATAATCTGAGTATCTGAATATAACTTAATGAAATTAATACAAATTGCAGATTCAGAGAGTTTAAAGTGAAACATTCAAGCAAAGATATTAAATATGACAATTAATAAAAAATCTTTAGATGAACTCCTTAAATAGGTAATATAGAAAAGTTACATGTATAACTAATTGTATATTTTTTTGTAATAGTTCATAGAATCATAATACCAAAAAGTTATAAATAAAAGTTAAAAGACCAAAGAGGTTACCTAAATACTAAAAAAAACAAACTAAATTATAAATGTTTTTAAATAATTTTTTTAAAATTTATTAATATTTATTAAAAAATTAGAATCTTATTTAATATAATTATATAATTGGCAAATTGTTTATAATAGCAAAAACTAAAAAAAATCTTCTTAATAAAAACTTAAAAAATTTTTAATAAAAAAATTATATAAGATATTAAAATAAATTAAAAAAAATTAAGTTATAAAAAAACTGATTGAACTAAACAGAACTAGTTTTAGAAATTGTTAAACTGAATTAATTAATCTTTTTAAAAGATAAAGCAACCTTTTGATAGGTAGCAGTTTTTCCAAAATGGCCTGCTAAAGAGTCTGAATGCATTATATACAAGACAGCCTCTGTCTCATAAGGTCTTAATACACTTAAAGACTATTATAAATTATATAGATTATTCTTATATAATAATTCATCTCTAATAAAATAATGATATGTTAAATGTTTTATTATCTTTTTAATACTATTTAGTAAAACCTTAGACTGGCTAAGATAATTAACAAAATTGATATACATTTCTATATAAAAAAATGTATTTTATACCAGGGGTTATTGATAACCTTCCTCTATTTTATAATTGTTTTTAGTTTTTTTTATCAAAAATTAGGTTAGGATGCAGTTTAATATTGAAATAGAAGTTAGATATTATGGTTTAATTTATAGGTTACATAGGTTTTTTGGAGTTCTGAACATTTTTACTTAACCTATCTGACCCCTATTTCTTAATCAATTTAATGAGATATAGCATTCTAGATATCAATAACCCCTGGTATAAATTATAAATGTTCTTTCTATATTTATAAAAGTTTGTTGTATTAATAAGAGGTTTTCAAAAGAAGTATTCAGATATATATAATTAGGGTTTCTTAATTAAAGAAGTTCTATATTAAATTTAGAATAAATTATTAGTATTTAAATGAAATTTCTTATATTTGTAAATGGTGGTAAATGAATATTCTGGCAAGGTCAAAATCTATCTGGCCAGTTGATTCTGAAGTAGCTGATGTAAAATAATAATTTCAATACCAAATAATTTTTATAGAAAGTAAAATAAGTACTATGCAAATAGATACAGAAATAAAAGACTATCTAAACTACTGCAAGCCATTCTTTTTCAATAACAGCATAATTTCTTTCTGCTGCTCTCAAAAAGTGACTTGCATATACAATTACCTGTTCTTTTACCTATTCATCTACTTGTGATAAAATAGTAATAAACAGTTAATTAAAGTTAAGATAAGCTAATATTAAGGCACTTATGAGTTTTTTTTTAATTTTTCAAAAGCACCCTAAAATTTAAAGGTCCATTGATACCAGTCATTCTTCTTCAATAAAGCATTAAAAAGAGCATCAATATTTATAAATTTAGAAATAAAATACCTGTAATAAGAGGCCAATCCTAAAAATCACTTTAATTATTATAGATTTTTGAAGATAAGAAATTCTTGAATGGCCTATATCTTGCTTTTATCAGTAGAAATTCTCTTTGAACTTACTATATACCCTAAAAATTTTAGTTGTTATTTTGTGAAATAATATTTTTGAAGTTTACATTTTAATATAATCTTACTTAAATAATAGAACACTTCTTCTAAATAACTCAAGTGTTCTTTAAACATTACTAAAAAATATTAAGATCATCTAGATAGATGCATAACATTAAATTTGAACTTCTCATATGAGGTAATGAAAGTTGTTTCATCCTAATCTTTTTTCATACCTTTACTTGCCAGTATTCACTAGCTAGATCTAATAAAGTAAACTATGATAACCTATTTAAAGCATTTAGAAGTTTATCAATTCTATATAAAAAATAGTTTCTTTCAATATAAAAGCAATTTCTTCTTTAAGAAATTGCTTTTTAGCTAGCAAGTATCTATAAGAATGCTATTTAATTAGTCTATAGCTATGAGTAAGAATCTTGTAATAAGTTTAGCTTGTGCATTCTAGTTCTCCTAAATTTTGAGTGCAAAGGTCAATGTTTTCTTCAAAGAGTTTAGTCAATTATTGCTTTTGATCTTCTTCTAATTCTTCTATCTGGTATTTAATCCTTATCAAGGTTTTATTTTCATAACAGTAATTAAAAAAATCTGCTATACATGATTTTCTTCTTTATGAACAATGTAATACATAATTCCAGGTTGATCTATTTATTAATCACCTATTTGCTCCTTTTTATAATAATTCTTCTCTAACCTATTATCATGTATTTAGTATTATCATCTTATTCATCGAATTTAATAACACATAAATTAATTTTTCTAAATTTTTTTTTTCATATTTATCATTTATTTCTTCTTGATAATTTTTTTTATCTTTGTCTATCATTTTCTTAACTATTACTATCTTTTCCTTTTCTAACAGAGCTCTTGTTATCTTCTAAAACTTAACTTGCACTATAATCTTCTAATAGATAGTTATATCAGATGAATTTTAGTTGATAGCAGCATTGACTTTAGCAAGCCAATTATTATCAACAATGGTGCAGTAAGAGGTGGTGTTAGTTATAATAACATTGATAAAAATTTCTATTTCATTTACAAAAAAGAAGAAATTGAAAATTTTTCTTATTACATATTTACTTTTATTATAAATATTGATCATATTTATTATTGATGAATACTCAATTCTTATACCAAGTATTTGTAACAATGTAATGCAACAACATTTTCTGAGAATTTACTATCTACTATTAGTAAAATATTCTTGTTATAGATTCTGGCATTACAATACAAGACTGTTGATTTTATAATAAGCTGTAAATTAATATTACTTTAGATTTTCTTTCTTATGATAATTCTCACCTTTTGCAGAAAATAAGCTAATTTCTAGCACATATTTTAAGACATCCATAATAATTATCTATAATTGATATTTGCTGGTTTATTTCTAATATTAGTGCCAATCAAATAAAAAGGAACTAAAGAAAAAATTTGAAACAATTTCATTTTAATAACTTTCAATCTTGGTCTAGTATTCTTTTTGTATCAGACTTTGAAAACTTTGTCATTCTCATTCTTATTCTTTTTAGCTATAACAAAATTAGAAATTACTTTTTGAATGTCATCATCTAAGTTCTTAATCTTATTCCTATTATCCATATTAGTGTCTTGGATTTAGTCCAGTATTAAACCAGATTTGAACTATAGATTTTAACAATTTCAACCTTCAAACTGGACACAAACTCAATTATAAGTTTGATTTAAATTTAGTTTAAAGTTTGCAAACAAGTTTAAGTCTGAATTTATAAACCAACATTAGTATAATTAATTAATATAAATCAATTGCCTAGCTGATGAGGTTTACCTCTGCAGTGGAAAATAAAAGTGTTATTCTTTATTTTTTGTGACATTATAATAATGTTTTATGACTTATATTAAATAAGCTTTTTTTTTATTGGAATTTTTTTTAATGTTCTTTCTTTTTTATATTTAATATAAATATTACTAAATGTAAAAAAATGATTAAATAAAAAGAATAATTAAGATATTTAAAATAAATTTAGATTTGAAAAAAACTCTTACAATTTGTTAACTTATTGTATTTAAGTTTAAACTCTTTATTTAATAATTTTAATACTTATTTATATTTAGTATTTAGTAATTTACAATGGTATAGATAGAGGTATATAGTATTAATAATATTAAGTACAACAGCTATAATAACTAAAAAATAAACTTATTTAAGAATTTTTATAAATAAATAGTAAAATTTCTTGAAGTTTTTTTTAATAGTTACAAATATAAGCAACAAATAGAAAAATTTATTAAGTAGAATATTGCCTAATTAAGCATCTCTAACAAAGGCAGTAATAATTAAAATATAATTTCTGTAATAAATATAATTAATTAATAAAAGAATAATTAATAAAAATAGTTTATAAGTTTTACTAAGATGTAGTATAAAGTTTTGTCTATATTATGAATTTGTTTAATTAAATTATATAATCTGATTAGCATAGTGGGCTTTTAGTTTGATTTTGGTAGATATATAAATAAAATTATTAGTTAATCAAACTGTTTAATAAAAATTATTATAAATAATTAATAGCTAAAATTTAAAATAGCATGAATAAATATATTACTATAAAATATTATAATTACAACTTATGACCTTTTCTTGGTACAAACAAAAATCCAAGGTTTATTTATAAAAATACAATTATATGAATTAAAAAAAATAAAAAAAAATACAAAAAAATAAAAAAAATAAAAAAATAAAAAAAATAAATGCTTCTAAAAAATAAATAAAAAAAGCATAAAACTTATTATAGAAGAAAATAAAAATGTATTAAAAAAAGTTTAATTATATATTAGTTAACTACAGTAATACAAATGGATTTTATTCTTAATTCTAAATACAAACTTTTCTAAAAGCACTCTTGAACTGCTCAACTTTTTTAAATGCATTCTTAATTTTTGGTCCAAACATATTCTTAACCTTCAAAAATGCACTTTTTTCTTATTATTCTCTAAATGCCTGTTGTTACAAGTTTGGTTACAATGACATGCATTTAGAAAGGTTTGATTGTAATCTTAAGCATGACACTATATTTTAATCTCTTATAAAATTTACAAGCTTATAGTTTATTACTTCATGTTATTATCTTATTTTACTAGCAATATATATCTGTCTTTAGAATAATAAATAAATTATAATAAAATAGATCAGTAATGTAAACCTTTTGAAAATACTACTATTTATCAAGTTAATAGATTTAATTTTATATTTATACTTATTTGCCAAATTGAAATACTAAAACATATCTCTTATTTAACTTTCAAATTATCTTACAAATTTATAAATTACTTTAACAGTTTATAAAACAAAACATAAACATTTGATTTTTTATTACTTTAATAAGACTTTTTAAAAGTGTAGTAACTTAGTAAAGTAAATAAGTTGTAATTCTTCCAAGTGGTAGGTTGTAAGTTCAAAATCCACCAATATTAAAATTTGGATAATCACCTATATAATATATAAATGATATTATGATAATAGCATTCTGTTAATCAGTTGAGATAAGATACCTGTAACTATAATTATATCAGCATTACTGGCAGGTTTGGAATATCTGTATAACCTGTTATACAGAAGAATGCAAACTGGTACCAAATGGTGTAAACCTAAAATAAGTCCTTAGGCTATATAAATCTGTAGAACTGTGAAGCCAAAGCTCACTTGGAAATTCTAAGCAGAAAGGTAACATGGATCTTTAACAGTACTATGGTAAAGGCTAGACCTAGAAAATAGATACCAATGTGAAGAAATCAGGTAGACAAGAACCTCAAGTGAAAGGTATCACCAACCAGGCTGCTGAATTTCAGACCAGAGAAAAAGAATATTGAGCTGGTCTCAATATACCAAAGACAAGTTATAGTTCTTTTGAGCTATCTGGATTGGAAGTCTAAGGTCAAAGCAGAGATATACTTAAAGTACTAGGGATATGCTGTAAAGTCAGTGCTAGGGTTTAAGTGAACTTATAAAAATAGACCTTGTTAGTGTTCTAAAAGTAAATAGATAGCTAACAATGAAGGACCCCTATGCCTTACTGGCAGATAATATATTCTAAAATGTATAATTGCTTAGGAACCAGTACAAAAAAAGTAGGTACCATACTGTTCAAATAGTATATCAGTTAGGTATATACAAGGAGTTAGTTGGAGTTACATTATAACAGGTCAGATAATCAGAGGGTTTAAATAAATAATATTCTAATAGATTATAGATACAGTATCTAGTATAGAACCTTAGAGCAGACTATTTAAATTAGCAATCTAAAGTTGTATGCATGACTAGTTGTACTCTTATTTCTATAAAAATAGTTGTAATAACTAACCTAATAAAAGTTAATAAAGTATTGCCACAAAGTATAATCTTTAACAAAAAAAAATAAGACTTTTTTATAATAATAGTTAGTTGAGATGTTATATATAAATTTTTTAATAGTAGATCAAATGATCAATGCACCTAAATTTTATATGTAAAATTTGTGTAAAATTTGCTTTCTAAGTTTATTTAATAATAAAGAAATTTTCAGATTAATTTTTAGGTATTATTTTATAAATTCTTTAGCATTTGAAGGTTTTTCTTGTAAATTTTAAGAATAATTAAAAATAAAATACAAAAGAATCTTAGTTATAAAGTTGGACAATTTTTTCATAATTTTTATTGTTTATTTATGTGATAATAAGTAATGTATATCATTTATTTCAAATAAGTAATAAGATCTCATCTATTAAATTTATTCATTTAATGTTTACTTATTACCTATTTTGAATAAATGATGTATATCACTTATTGTTATATATAAACAAACAGTAAAAATTATGAAAAAATTGGCCAACTTCATGATAAAATTCTTTTGCATTTTATTTTTAACTATCCTTAAAATTTTATAAGAAGAACTTTTAAATGTTAAAGAATTTGCAAAATAATACTTAGAAATTAACCTAAAAATTTCTTTATTATCAAATAAGCTTAGAAAGCAAATTTTGTCTAAATTTTACATATAAAATTTAGATGTATCAATTATTTGACCTTATATGAAAAAATTTGTACACATAATTTGTGTAACATTTTGACTGACTAATAAGATAATTTTCAAAATTAGCCAATTATAATAAAGCCCAATATGCTAATCTAATTGGCTAATTATTATATGAAATTATAAGTAAATCTATAAAACTGAACTGAACCAAACTTCAAACTTTCTAGGCTAAAGTTTAAAAGGGTTTAAAAGGTTTTTTTGTAACTTAGCTTTTTATATAGATCTTTATAATTATTTGATTAAGATCTTTTTGTGATTTATTCAAATCTATCATGACTTTTATGTAAAATAAAATAATTTATAATTGTAATAGTTATCTTATTAAATTATGTTAATTTTTTTATTTTTTTTTATTTTTTTTAATTTTATTTCTTTTATTTTATTTTATATAACAAATACTAATTCTATAATTTTATTAATTTAAATAACAGAAATGCAGAAACTCAACCTATATAACACTTTTTATTACTTGGTATTGAATATGTAGCTCTTAAAAAACAATATAGAATAAAAAAGTAAAAATATAAATGTTGATAATTGAATTGAAAAATTTTAATTTAAAGCATAACTTATGATATAGAAATTATAATTAGTGCATCTATTATACTTTAAAGTAAGTATATTAGCACATAACAGGTTTTTAGTTGAATTATATAACTTCGTGTAACACATATAACCTTGTGTAACACAACATACAATCTTTTTTTTTCTTTTTTTTTTTTAAGATGAGGTTTTGCTTATATTTTTATTGATTTGTTAAAGAAGACTCTAGGAGCTTCTCTGGATATAAATTACAAACCTATTCCAATTACAAATATATTACAAAAATGGAGCTTAGGATGTGGTGACCTAGTGAAGTGGTCAGGTTGTCAACTCCCCAAGTGGTAGGTTGGGTGTTCAAATCCTATCAACAATAAAAAATTTAGATAATTACCTATGTAATATTCATATTATAGCAACTGTTACTAACAGTTAGGTTAGGATGCCTGTAATAGCAGTTGCACCAGCTGACTGGCAGGTCATGGGGCATCTGTGCAATGTTGGAATTATACAGAAAAATGCAAACTGACATATCGGGCAGTGCAAACACTAGATAAGTCCTCATAGCTATATAAATTCATTGAAATTAGGTAACAAGAAGTCTATTTGAAAAGACCTGAATAGAGAGATAGCTGGATCTTCAATGGCCCTACTGTAAAGGCTAGCCTAGTGAAACAGATACCTAGGTCTAGTACCCAGTCATAGTAGCTAAATGGGCAAGAACCTTCAGGTTGGAAGTCTCGAAGGTATCACCAATCAGGCCACTAGAATAAACCAAAAAAAAAGGACATTGGGTTGACCTGATATAGTGATGGACTGTTGTAGTTCTACATGAGATATCTGGATTGGAAGTTTGGTAAAAGGGCAGGAAAAAAGGCATGGGTATACTAAAGTACTGGGGTTATGCTGTGAAGTAGATGCTGGAGTCTAAGTGAACTCTACAAGGGCATAGCAGTT